AGTAAAATCTTTTTTTTTTTTTAATCATCATTTTAGCATCACCAGAATGTATATATAATTTGAGTAGAAATATTAGCGAGCATAACAGCTAAATGTTTTTTTTCAAGTAATATATAGGTATGAACAGGTATAATATATCAACAAATACATTTGTATCTATCATATAATCGTCATTCATGGTATGTACACATTGATATATTCATTTACACATATATGTTATCATTTGAATATATATTTTAATCAATTATCATTTAAAAATGTAAAATTAAAATAAAAATAAAATTATTTATATAATTTTTCTAATATTATTAGAATAAATTTTTTTAATAATTGGTATTTATTGGAAAAAAAAAGAGTTTTATCCATTTTCGCAGCATTTTTTTCGGAAATAAATTGATGCAAAATTTATTAAAACTAATAAGCAGAAAAAAAAAAATTTGCTTTCCTGAAAAAAAAAAGAAATACCATAGTGGAAAAAAAAAAAAGTTGAAGAAATATAAAAAAAAAAGAGAGAAAGAGAGAACTATTAGCAATTAGCAATAACATTTCATTGGTAATATTTTAATTTGGAGAAAAAAAAAAAAAAAATCAGAAAGCGATAAATTTTATGATAATTTTATCAGAAGATGAAAAATTCTGCAAAAAAAGAAATAATTGCCTCTTTCTTCCTTTTATTTATTTATTTTCATTTCAAATGTATGTACGAAAATTATTTGAAATTCAAATCTTAGCATATGTAATACTAATTAATAATATTTGTTAATATTAGCATAATGGAAATAATTTTTTTGAATGAAAACATTTTTCTTTTTTCTAGCTCTGAATTTTTGTTAAATGTAAGAGAGAAAGAAAAAAAAAGTTGAAAATTAAATATTTCACTTTTGTAATCAAAAAAAAAAAAGAGTTATTTACAAGGTAATTTATAGCTTCGAAAATAAACAATATTCATTTCTACTGCGATCTTCTCCAAATTTCGGATAATGTTTTTTCTTTTTTTCACTTAATTAATTAGCAAAGAAAATAGGAAGTTGAAATTAATCATACATTTAATGGTCAATTCAATTAATTAATATGTGCATGTTAGTAATAACAATTTTTTTTTTTGGATTGTAGAGAAAATTTCGACAATTTTTCTTTTTACTTAAAAAAATTTTTAAAGAAAAACAAATAATGAGAATGTGCGATTAATTATGAAAAAAAAAAAAAAATTTCACTAATCTAAAATAAACAGTAAATAATGTTTTTAATTTTTAATAATTTTCAATTTTTTAATAATTTAATTAATTTTTAATTTTTTTCAAGAAAAATTAGAAAACAAAAAAAATAAAATTTTTTTTCTTCTTTTTTAACAATAGGAACAACTTACTTTTACAACAAGGAATAATATAGGAAATATTTCTATCGCAAAGTTATCAAATACAATCATTGCATTATTATATCTTATTAATATATATATATATATATATATGTATATATATATACTAAAAAATACAATATAATATAATTAATTAACTAATCACAACAATATACAATACTGATATATACTTTACTAACAAGTAAAATTCAATTTTGTTCCTTACATGTATCAAAGAAATGTATATGAAAATGTTTAAATCACCCGAATGAAATTAACTCCGCGGGAAAGGAATGGTTTAAAAAGAGGAAAAAATTACAATAATTAACTTAATACTATTGATTTGTTATCACATAAGTAACAAAATTAGACCCGAATGAAATTAACTCCGCGGGAAAAGAATGGTCAACAAAAAAGTTACAATAATTAACTTATTATTATTGATTTGTCATCTAATAAGTAACAAAATTAGACGACATCAAATCAGAGAAGAAAAAAAAGGAAAAGAAACCTAAAAATTAATCCAATCTGAAACATTAAAATCTACGAATTACTGATTATCACTTACAAATGATTAAAAAAAAAAAAAAAGTTTGCAAATTGAATGCCAACCTATCAAACCTATCATTGTATAAATGTAAAATGTCGCAGAAATATTCCTACAAATTATATTTTGCTAATAACGATTGGTTTTTTTTTTTTGGATTTTTCATTTTCTTTTTTTTTCTTTATTTAATAATTTTGTTTTTATTTACCAAATTGTTTAAATGTACTTTTCGTTTCTTTTTCTTTTTGTTGACATGCACTTTTCATCTTTTATTTTCATAAAAGGAAAAAAAAAAAATTATCGTTCTCTAAAATTTCTCATCCTTTTCTACTATTATTGTTGCTCTTACTGTTCATGACTTTTTTTTTTTTTTTATTAAATTATTAGTATTTCTTATCATTGCGTGTATTGATCCTTCAGATCATTTATCATTTTATTGATCCTTAAGATCATCTATTGTTTTATTGATCCTTCAGATCATCTATTATTTTATTGATCCTTCAGATCATTTATCATTTTATTGATCCTTAAGATCATCTATTATTTTATTGATCCTTCAGATCATCTATT